CTCCACAGTACTTAACAACAACATGGTGTGGCGCTATGGGCTAATGCGTCAGACTGCAAAGTTGTTTGAACTGCAAGGTCGGTGGTTCAAGCTCACCAGCTACTCCTTGGAAACCCTGTACAGGGTCGCTATGGGTCGGAATCGACTCCATTGCACTTAACAACAGTGTGATGGCTGGAACTGCGGTTGCCTTAGCAGGGACACACCAAATGAGTTGGAGGGCCTCATTGCACAGCCTGTGGGCCAGACGTTCCCCATCTTTGCTGTATAGAGTTTCCAAGGATTCAAACTGCCAATCTTGTGGTTTCAAACTGAACTTGTAGTTCAGTGCTTATCCTCATAGCAAGCCTGTGTAGGGTTTCTGAGGAGCAGTTGGTGGATTTGAACTGGTGTTTTAGTTAAAGTATTGTGGTAATCAGTATTTGTGAGCCTATGTCAGTAACTTTTGAATATAAAGAAAACCCATCCAAAGTCACACAGCAAGGAGCAGCATCCAACCTGCAGCTCCTCAGATCAGCCCTCTCCCTCCTTTCCACATCCCTAGTCTTTCTCCCCATCCCAACTCTACCACTCCCTGCTTCATAGCTCCCTTCTCTTCAACTTCTTGTTCTATGTTTTTCCCAAACCCCAAATCCTGCCTCTCCACCAACCTCAAGTCTTGCAGAGCACCCAGGAAAAGTGTGGGGTGGGGGCTGCAGAGTCGGTTCCCACTCATTGTTGTTTTTGTTAAGTGCCGTCGAGTCGGTTCCAACCCATAGCGACCCTGTACAGGATTTCCGAGGGTATAAATCTTTATGGGAGTAGAAAGCCTCATCTTTCTCCCTCGGAACAGCTGGTAGTTTCGAACTGCTGACCTTAAGGTTCGCAGCCCGATTCGTAACCACTACGCTACCAGAGCTCCTTAGCGAGCTATAAATCTTTACAGGAACAGAAAAGCTCATCTTTCTCCTGTGGAAGGCTGGTAGTTTTGAACTGCTGATCTTGAGGTCAGCAGTCTGACTCATAACTACTCTTCCCTCTAACAGAAGTCCTTCAGAAGAAGGGTAATCTTTTACGGCCTACTCTTGGTAGAGTTGTGTGTGTAAATTACATTGAGAGAAAGAAACACATGACAGAGACATGGAAGGCTCACTCCTCGAGACCATGCTCATCTCTGCCTCTTCACAAGGACTTCATCACTCCCCTCTGCCAGGCCTGTCCTGCCAGGCTCTTGGTTCAGAGTATCGGCCATGTTCTCCTTTCATAAGATCACTCAGGGTCTGGAAGCTGGGCTGCTGTTTTGACAGAACCCCAGGCCTGGGGTGGAAGATAGCTGAGAGGGGAATCAGCAGTCTCCTCCAACTTGTTTTTCCCCAGGTTGTCATCAATCCCAACTATGAGGTTGCAGAATCTGACTACATTAACAACATCATGAAGTGCAGGGCCCGCTACGATGGCCACCGCATCTGGATGTACAACTGTCACACAGGTAAGGCCCCTTCCTCCAGAAGGAAGTGCCCCCATCCCTCCTCGGGCCACTCTGCCCCTCCCACAGCCAACCTTCCAGGAAGCAAGCTCAAGAGCTGCTTTTTTTTAAGGCAGCTTTCTAATTTGTGCAAAGAGCCAGCCTCTCGTTTCAACATTTAGGAAGGAAGCCATGGCCAAGGACTGAGTTTTCACAGCCAGCTTTGGTCAAGGGAAGAAGGCGGTACAGAACCAGGATGGCCCAGAGTACACCCCAAAGAGATTTAAGGGCTGGAACCAAGGCTACTAACTCATTATGCTTGTGACCTCAAAAGTGTGGGCATCAGTCATTTGTGGGCTCCATTTACCAGGTTTTCCTGTCAAGAACTAGCGGTTAGTGAACCAGTGTTACTTCCAGTCTCCAATACAGAAACTGTTCCCTTGGATTATATGACTCAGGAACAAAAGGGGAAAGCAGAACATTCTGTTCCGCAGGAAAAATGATGAACCTCACTCTTGGTAAAGGTACAAATTAGATGCGCTCTATTTATTTGTCCGTTCACCCAACTTTTCCAGAGACCTGTTATGCATCTGTCCCTTTGGCCCAGGAGGAGGCCACCCCCAGCTTGGACAAGGGCTGAGTATTACCTAGTTTACCAAACTCTTCTCCATTTCCCACCCTTCAGGTGGTTCCTACAGTGAAGAAACAGAAAAGAAATTTGAACAATTCAGTGGACTCTTAACTAACCAGCTCTCCACGCGGTAGAAGAACATCTGTGGTCACGGCCTGTCTTCGGGCCACACTGCATCTTCCCCGGGACTCTCCCCAACAGCTGCCATCTGACAGAGCAATTGCCATACTCCCCCTTACTCAATGAGCCCCCACCCCATCTCGACCCCTGCAGCCATGACTCAGCTCAGGAGGAAGGGGATGCTCCTGCCTTTGGCTGAGTACTGCTGTCTGGTGTAGGGAGCCTGGGAAGACTTTGGGGGCAGGTGGCTGGGCTTGTCCACAGGGCTGGGAGACAGCACCACAGACACCAAGAGCCAGTCTGGCCCAGGACCCTTCAACCACTGTCTCTGGTTGTCCTCATGGCCCACTCAAGCCACAGTCCTTCCTGAGTCTGACACCACCAGCTCACCAGGTAATCATGCCAACAGGACCATTTTCTTAACTTATATGTTGGCAAACATGAGCTTCTCCATCCCAGTGGTGGTCAGGTGGAACCCCACGTCTCCTCCTCATAGGTCTTTTCCAGCAAACTTGAGTATCTCCACCTCTCTTCCACCACTCTAGTGTATCATAAGCACACATATAAGTAATGTTGCCACATGATTTCTCATTAGGTGAGTTCAGCCTTGGTGCTTCTCTCCTTGCCCTCTGATTTTTAAAGATACCATTATTATATTTTTACAGACTTTGAAACACAAAGTTATTCAGTGGCATTTAATAGGGGGGAGTGTGGGCCTTTGGAAGCACGGCTCCAACAAGCAAAACCAAAGCACCTGTGTAAGTGACTGGTCTTTCTGTTGTTCCATGCTTTGGGCAATGGACTCAGCGGTGCTATAACCAGGGTCATGGTGATGGGACACTCACCGGATGCCATGTGTCATCACAGACACTTACACATACTTGAAACTTCAAATAAAAGATTGATGATATGCACCTTGTGTTTCCTTTGAACCGCTGCACTGAGCCCCGGAGCAGCAGGATTCCAAGTTCAACCACAGCTGCCCAGCTTCAGATACCCTTTGCTAACTTGCAGGTTTACCCTGCAGAGCTGGGTGCCCAAGGCCCTTGTTGTTGTTGTTAAGTGCGGTCGAGTCAGTTCCAACCCATAGCAACCCTGAACAGGGAGGGTTTCCAAAGCTGTAAATCTTTATGGGAGCAGAAAGCCTCATCTTTCTCCCACGGAGCAGCTGGTAGTTTCGAACTGCTGACCTTGCGGTTTGCAGCCTGATTCATAACCACTACGCTACCAGAGCTCCTTACACCAAAGAAAAACCAACCCACTGCCATCAAGTCAATTCCGACTCGTGGTGCTAACAGAGTAGAGCTGCCTCATAGCGTTTTCTTTGCTGTAATCTTTACCAAAGCAGATCTCCAGGTCTTTCGTCTATGGTACTGCTGGGTGGCTTTGATCCATCAACCTTTACTTCATTGCTGTGTGCCATCAAGTCAATTCCAACTCATAGCAACCCTATATGGCAGAGCAGAGCTGCCCTATAGGGTTTCCTAGGCTGGAGTCTGTATGAAAGCAGGTCTTTCCTCCTGAGTGTAAACAGTCTGCACCACCCAGGGGCCTAGGGTGGCCACAGGGGACCTCCTTTAATAAAAACCACACAAGGAGTAATCTCTGCTCTCTGAGAGTAGTCTAAGGAGATTACACAACACAAACACAACCTTCGTAACCTTTTCAGCACTATTGTTTTTTTATAGAAGCTGGTTGGGAAGGTGAGGTTAACCCTGTCTACATCCCTACATTCTAGGGCCCTTGGGGACCAGACATGCAGTCAGAATGGGACACGTCTAACTCTGCCCTACAGAGAATTTATTGTTGTTCACAAGCCTACGAAATAGGCTATGGTGCCATTCACAAGAGTGTGCATGCCCTCAGCTGGCCTCTTCCTAACAGCTGTTAGAGCCAGAGGGGACATCTGCAATGACACAATTACAAGTCAGGAGCAGAGAGGATGGAGGGCTTGGAGGCAGTCACTCCCTGACACAACAAGGGACCCCAACCTGTGTCAAGAGCATGCTAGGGCTGCATAACCCAGAGGGGCCGACAGTGACCTTAAAGTGCCAGTGAGAACCACCACCTCAGCATCAACTCTACCCAAACCACAAGAGTTAAGTGCACTATGACTCTGCGCCCACAGAAACATGAGAACTCATATTCGGCATGCACTTCAGAGTTCACCTCTTGGCTTCCTGTGACCAGTACAAGGACTTACCCCAAGGGTTGGGGCTATGATCCCACTGCTGTGCAGCACAGGACAGTAGCTTGTGTGAAGACTGGGCAGGTGTCACAAAAGAGGTACAAACTACACCTAAAGGACCAGGCAGGTCCTGGGCAAAAATGCCCTCTACTAGGCATAGCTGGGTTCCTGATGTGGTTCTGTAGAATAAGTACTAGACTGCTAACCACAAGGTCGGTGGTTGAAACCCCCCAGCCACTCCTTGGAAACAATACAGGGTCACTATGAGTCAGAACCGACTAGATGGTACAGCACAGCGGGGCTCCTTCCAGGCCAACCAAGCTCCTAGAATCAGCTATTTCTTCAGCAGCCCCAGGCTAAAACAGGAGATCGGACAGCACCCCCTAGTGTCCCACGGCAAGCCATCATGTTCTGAAGCGATCACATTATAACAAGTTTTTATTTTTTTCACAACTTCTAGAATTAGCCCAAACTAAACCCCACCACACCACACAGTGAGGTTCCAACAATCATTCCAGCCTGTACAGGGCTGTTTGTGGTTATCTGTAAAGGCTTTTGGTGTTGGGCACTCAGTCAGTGCCTGGGGCGTGGGTCCAGGAGTGGGGGACCTCGGGGCCTCAGGGCAGATGCTCCACCCCAGGCCGCTCTTTCTTTTTGTGTTGGAGTCCCAGGGCCCGGGCTACCAGCCTCCGGGCCACCGCCGTGTTCGTCTGTGGTCTCTCCTTGGACAGCTGCAGGAGCTCTAGAAGAAAAGGCCCATGGTGGGGGCGGGGTGGTGGTGGTGGTGAACTCAAAGCCTGGGCTCCCACAGCCACCTTACAAGCCATCTGCCAAACTCGAGCAGTATACGTGTGGGGGCCGTGCACACTGCAGGACCAGACTGGGGGGTGGGGCACTTTACAGGCTCCAAGCTTCATCTGCTCCTGTCTCCCTGTAGAACCTAACCCAATCCTCTCACCTGTTCTGTGCCCTTGTTTCTCCATCTGTAAAATGGGGGTGAGAAGAAAACCCCATCCACCCACTGTGTTCTGGGACCCCCTGGGAGAGAGCCAGACACAGGATCTTTATTGCTGCCAACAATCTGGGACAAAGGTGGTGTTACTGTCCCTAGACATGTGGACACGCCCAGCAGCCCCAGAAACTGGCCTCTGAAAACAACCTGCATGTCCTTTCAAAGGAGAAAAGGAAACGGGAAGGAACTGAGGCAGCTGCCCTGTGCCCAGCACCATCCCAGGCAGGTCCTCCATGCTGTTTCACTGGCTCCTCCCATCTGCTCGGAAAAGTCTGCTTATCTCACAGATAAAGTAACTCCTAGACATCACATTACAGAGCCAGGATGGTACCCAGGGCTGACCCAACTCCTGGACATTACGTTAGAGCCAAGATGGTAGCCAGGGCTGACCCTAACACCAAACTCCTGTCACTGCACTGCCTACAGAAGATGGGCCAAGCTTTCCCCAGAACACCACCCAAAGAGAGGCCGAGTGGGAAAGCAACACCAGAAATGGTGGCTGTGGGACACCAATCCCTGAAGGGTCCAGCCCCGGGAGAGTAGGAGGGGCACAGCCTCATTGACTGCAGCCCAGGGTGTCCCCAAGAAGAGATATATGGAAGGGCAGAATGAATCAGAACCAGAAGACCCACCCACCCTGCCTCACCACCTCAGTCCGAATCCACCACTTGCTTACTTGGCCTCTGCAAGGCTTTGAGCTTTGACTGTTTGGTTCCCTGTGTGAGGGGTCGGATCTTGAGCACCGACAAGTCCCTGGACAGCGCTTCAGCAGCTATGGAAACAAAGAAAATCTGGAGACATCTTATTCTGCATGAGGCCAACCTCAGCACCCGGGAGCACAGGCGTTGCCCAAAACATGCAGCCCATTCACACTTAGGGTCAGGGCTACTCTGACTCCATTCAGGTGGGGTCAGAGACAAGTGCCATCCATTCCTCTGTTCCACAGTCTGTAGGCCTGTGAGCTCAGACGGGACAGCTGTGCAGAAGCCAGTGTCCCCACACCCCTCCCGTGCAGGTCAGGAGCCACACCAGTAAGGCTAATGTCTGCTGAAGTCCCGGACTGTAAAGGCTCCCTTTGTCTACCACTCAAGATCCTCCCAGGGAGCAGACACCAGCTGCCCTGAGCTATGTGACAGCGAGGCTTCAAGGCTGATCAGCGCTCGGACTATTTACAAAAGGCAGCAAGTCAGAGCAACAAGGGTCTCAGCTCCCAAACGCCCACTGCTTCATAGATGAGGAAACTGAAGCCAGGACAGATTGTGGCAGAGCCAAGAGACAGTCAAGGTCCATCCCTCCCTAAAGTTACTCACTCTTCCCACTGCACTGGGTGGCCCTGACCCCCTTTCCCTCCCTTCCTCTCAACCGGCTCCCTCTGGGGTTTAAGTCCATGCCTACTCTCGTTCTCATTGCTCCCTAAATGTTGTCTCTGAAATATCAGGCTCTCCTGAGGACCCACACCAGCTATGGTGTTCAGACGGTTGTGGCTTTAAGTCACATGTGGAGGGTGGGGGAGGTTTATAAATATACCCAAAGTGAGCAGTACTGTGGCAGCCCAGGAGAATTAGCTGGGAGGTAGGGGTGGAGGGTAGGGACACTGACATTATGGTCAGAAGGCCTGGGGGGGTATCTCTGGTTTTGACACCAAAAAAGGTTCTGTAATCTTGAAGAGACCTCTGATGTTCTAGGAATCTGTCTCATCATCTCTAAAATGCGGGTGATCTGGCCTGTGTCTTGAAGCTATCATGAAAATGGAACAAGAATGCATTACTCTGAACCAAATGTCATTATTTGAATGCTTTTGACCCTTAAAAACAGCCCTTTCATAGGTTTTAGTTTAATATACAGAATTAATCAGGACTTAAGCCATGACAAGTGCTCAGTAAATGTCACCTAAATCAAATCAGGTCCTTCAAACTGAAGGCACTAACATGACCATGCACGGCTAAGGAGTTATTACTGTGAGCTTCTGGGCTTCACCCCTCTGCTCCCACCAGGACTTTATGATTAGGCTGGCCGGGAGCAGAGCCCAGAGAGCCCACCTGACCAAACTGACCTGCACCCTGGACACCTGCAGTTGAGCAATCCTCATCCAGGGAGACAAACCCTCCCTGGGTGCCAAGGTCCCTTCCCCTCTCCACGGTGGTCAGAGGAGGAGCACATTACCTGAGGCCAGGCAGGGAAAGATGCCAAGAGCATGCGTGTCATCCACCCACTGGATCTTGAAGCCCTTATCTCTGTGTGGGGAGAGGAGGCAGAGTGGTGATGACAGCAAATGGCCAGACCCTTTCCTCTTCGTGTCCTACAGGGGAGCTCCCTCCCATCTCCAATCCTCAAACACTGTTAGTGGCAGACAAGTTCCAGCCTCCTCTGGAGAAGGAGACAACCACTGGCTGCAAACCCTCTCTGAAGATGATTGCTTCAGAAAGACAAGCATTACTCCTGTTAGTAAATCCCGGGAGTCCCCAATTCCTAGAAATAAAGAAGCCAAGACTCAACAAGCTCATCTGGCCCAATATGGAGGATGCAGGAGCTCCTCACAGGCACTCCCACCGCCAGCCCGAGGCATGGGCTCTGAGGCTGCAGACAAAAGGGTTTCTGTAGCAGTGCGGAAAGACAGGACCAAAGTCAGCTACCAGAGTTACTGCTCCTGGTAAATGGAGACTCCTGCTGCTCAGGAAGGCATCACCAACAGGCCCATGGCAGTGCTGGGGCCCCCACTTAGTATCTTTAGGGGCACTGAGTGAGTGACCAGGGGCCCCACTCCAGCCACACCTGTAGGGGTAGACAACACTCTACCTCATGTCCCACCCAGCTTCCCCTTCAGTTTTCCCCTAGCTGAAACTCAGAGAGGGTCAAAGAAGGCTGTCTGGGAAGAAAGTCAGAAAAGAGGGCCGTGAAAAAAAGGCTTTCAAAAATGTAAGCAGGAAGAGAAGGGAGATTAGAGAAAAGAAAATGAGAATGGAAAAATAAAAGCAACAAGGAGAAAAGGCAGGAGGTTAGAGCCAAAGATCTCTGGAAAAACAGACAAGGGGAGTCTCATTTCTCAATACACCCCTGCTGGCTCCACCCCCAGTCTGCTCAAGTTCATCCCAGAACAAGTTCCATGCAGAGATGCCCCTCAGTCTGAGGCATGACTGACTGGCTGGGATGCAGAGCAAGGGAAAATGGGTGGGCTGCCCATTGGCCCCGAGAGATTGATGCATACTTCCCCTAGGTCCCAGTAGGCGTGTGGACGAGCAGGAGGGTCAGGACAGAGGTTAGTGTTGGGACAGAAGGACCAGATCTAGGTCTTGGGAAAGTCTACAACCAAAAGCCCAGCTTTCCAGGCTCATGCCCAGCAGGCTGAAGCGCCTAGGAGTGTGGTATCCAGAGTAAGCACTCTCACTTTATGTCCTTTCTAGATCACTAGGCACAGGGACCCACAGAGAAGGATTCAGAAATGGGGGGTGGAGAGGGTAGGCAGGAGGTAGAGAGGTAGAGTTGGGTGGGAAAGCAGGTAAGTGTCACCTTCCCAAAGAGATTTTCTAGCTCCTCTCCAGGGATAAGCACCCTGCCTCAGCTGCCCTGGGGAAGCACTGTGGGCACTCACTGGAAATCAGAAAAGACTGCCAGCAGGTCTTCTGTCTTGAGTGCGGGCTCAAAGCCGTAGATCTCCACCACATGGCCCAAGTCCTTCTCTCCAGGCAGCTCCTCTACAAAGGAGGCTGTGTCCACCAAGATCTTCTCTATCTCAATCTCCTTCTCAGTCAGGTTGTCTGTTATCTGGGAGAGACCAGACTCTTTAGCAAGGGGAGCTCTGACACATGGGGTTCAAAACAACTGGGGCCCACACCACATACAGAGAGCTCTGTAGGCTCTTGAGTCAGTAGGGAGGAGAGTTCAAGGGTGGTTTTCCACTGGAGCCCTACCTGACAGGGTGGTGGAAGCAGACAGGAAGTGCAAAAGAACTTACTTGTATGGAATCCCCACTGGGTGACTGGCATTTACATACACTGTTTCTTATAATCTTCCAAATTATATTTTTTATACCTATTTTACAAATGAGTCCTGGTGTGTCGCTGTGGGCTAATGTGCCAGACTGCAAAGCCGTTTGAAATGCAAGGTCAGCGGTTCAAGCTCACCATCTGCTCCTCAGAAACCCTACACAGGGTCGCCATGGGTTGGAATCAGCTCGACGGCACTTAACAACAATAATTTTACAAATGGAAAAACTGATGGTCTAAGCCAGGGGTGAGGAACGTCTGGCCCACGGGCCATATAAGGCCCACGAAATCATTTGTTCTGGTCCTGCCAAGGTAACCCCAGTTGCAGCCATCACATTAAGGGTGAGTTGATTAAATGCTTGATCAAACATAGTAGCCTACTTTTTAAGTTGATAATTTTGTATGGCCTGCAAATAGTGTTACAAATTTTAGCAGAAAAAAGGTTTCCTATCCCTGGCAAGCAGTGATTTGCCCAAAGTTATAGTCAGTAAGAGCCAGAGCTGTGCAAGTCCAGAATGTTTTCTACCCCCAACAATGTGACATTAAGCAAGATTTGCTGGTCTCCATTCCTCATCTATATATTAACAATAAAAGATACCAGCCCACATAAACTAACAGCAAAGCCAGAGTCAGGATCAGAACACAGTACCAAAGAGATCAGATTTGTAAGACAAAGCTCCAGGCAACAAAGTAATGTTCCTGACAAACATTTGTAGTGGTAGTCCTCAGTTTTAACACTTAGAACCAACCACTTTTTTTTGGTACATTTTATCTGTAGTACTACCTGGTGTTGGTGGTGGTTATGTGCCGTGGAGTCAGTTCCAACTCATAGCCACCCTGGTACAGGGTTTCCAAGGCTGTAAATCTTTACGGCAGCAGAAAGCCTCATCGTTCTCCCATGGAACAGCTGTTAGTTTCAAGCTGCTGACCTTGAGGTTAGCCTCCTGACTCTTAACCACTATGCTACCAGAGTTCCTTATTAATATGTACTACATACAATATTAAGGAGCTCTGGTAGCGTAGTGGTTATGAATTGGGCTGCGAACCTTAAGGTCAGCGGTTCGAAACTACCAGCTGCTCTGCGGGAGAAAGATGAGGCTTTCTACTCCCGTAAAGATTTACACCCTCAGAAACCCTGTACAGGGTCGCTATGGGT